ATGATGATCTCTTACTTGTCTCACCCTGTTCCCTTGTCCCTTAGCACAGGCCAGGTGCAGAGGGGGTGCAAACATGGAGGGCCAGTGCCTGCAGGGACAGAAAGAGACATAATCCAAGTGCAGGCTCCCCTCTCACCAGTCAGGTGACCTGAGACATGTTATTCAGTTATTCCGCGTCTCTGAGCCTGCTTCCTCACACTCAACACAGGATATCTTCTGATACAGTTACTGTGAAGACTAAGTAATACAATTTTGCAAATGGCTTAGCTCAGTGCATGGCACATGTAAGTGTTCAGTAGATAGTAGCTACTGTTTTTAATAAATAGGAGAAAGAAGGCTGTGTCTCTCCCTTGGCAGCCTTTCGTGCTTTTGCAGTCTTGATTCATATGCTCGCAGCCTCATTCTTGCGAATCTGAAGGAGTCTTGGTGTCTGGAGCTCCTGGAGGAGGTAAATGCCCCCAAGAGAATCAGCAGGGCCTGTAATGACCTGGGTCTTCTCTCCTGTGAGCACTTTAAGTCACCAGCTTCCAGAAGCCTAGGGCACTCAAGGTGCAGCCCCGCTCCGCCCCAGAGCCCCTCCCCTTCTGCACACCCAGGACAGCACCTGTCGACCTGGAGGGAAGCAGCTGCCCTTCTGCTCAGTAGTGGGGGCTGAACATGTGAAAGGTGTCCCCGTGAGCCTCCCCAGCCCCCAGTCCCCGTGGGACTTGGATAAAGAATGTCTGGAAGACCAGAGGGTTGACACGGTGGTATCAGCTTCCAGGAGAGCAGAGGTACTTATGTGTGTGGCTGCCAAGCCCACATTCCCCCCTGGGAAGGGAGGATGAGGGGAGGGATAAGGGAGGGAGCAAGGAAGTGGTGACTCACTTCGAGGGGTGAGTGATGCAGGAGCAAAGGCCAGAGCCCTGGTGCAATGCCCTGTGGGCCTGAGGGCTCTGCTCTCAGCCTTGGCCTCAGGGCTGCCAACTTGTACCCGTGGGTGCTTGGTCATGAGGCTCTCCTGGCAAGAGGATGGGGTTGACTGTGCTCCTGCTGGGCAGACAGCTCTGGGCACAGGCTCTTTCAGTGGGGGTGGAGTGGAGGAGGGGACCATGGTGGCATCATCTTGGTGAAGCACAGGCAGCCAACATTTGTTGGGAGCTGACTATGTGCCAGGCATTGTATTAACTCATTTAATCTTCACAGCAACACTTGGGGGTAGGGACTATTGTTACCCCAGTTTTACAGACTGGGAAACTGAGGTCCAGATATGTTGAGTAACTTGACCAAGGCCACCCAACTAACAAGTGGCAGAGCCATGATCTGAACCCATGCAGTCTGCTTCCGGAGGGCATAATCTTGATCACCTCTCTACTCCATGTTGCTTTTCTTCAGGGGCCTTAGCTCGGCAAGGACTTAATTGTTCAGTGATGTGATTTGTCATGAAGGCTGATCTTTACTGTGAGACTGAAGGCATGAACCTTCAGTTCTCTACTGATTCTCCAGCACCTTGCACACAGTAGGTGCTCACTAGGAACTTGCAATGAAGGAGTGAACTAATCCATCAATCAATCTTTGAATGAGACCCTTGGCCTTGCTTGGGGCACAGGGCTCACCTCCTGCCCCCAGCCACCCAGCATCCCAGTGAGTGCTTATGTTGCCATGGTGATAGTAGGAACATCAGAGCCAGTGCCTCACTCAGGTGGCCTTCTCAGCTCTCTGGGTGTTGGTCCTGGGAGTTAGTGATTCGTACTTGGCAGGAGGCTGAAAGGTGAACTCCACACAGATGGATGTGTGAAAAAGAAGTGCGTGTGCGTGTGTGTGTGTGTGTGTGTGTGTTTGTGTGTCGGGGGAGGGTCCCCAAGTCTGAATGTGTACCAGTTGTGGGTATTTGCCTGCGGGTTTGTTGGAGATTTGCCTAGGTAGGGGGAGGGGGTGTTTTATGTGCTGGGGACAGACTCTGGGTTGGGGACAGGCAGCGTGGCTGTCAGCGGGGCAAAGATGCTGAGGGGGGAGATCCGATTGAGGGCCAGGGAAGATAACCCCATTTTCCAGTCAGAGAACCAAAGCACATCGCTCAACAAGGGGCTTCTGGTTTGTGCATGATTTATAGGAAATATCTTACAAAGATAAAAATTGAATCACATTTAGTTAAACATTTGATAGGTTCCTTTATTGGGAGAATAAATTTATATGAAAATCCAGAATGATGGGGTGCTAGACGTGGGGCTGGGGGGCAGCCCATGCCTGTGTGTGGTGGGAGAGGGTGTGGGCGGCAGGAGGCTCTGAGGTCTGCCTTAGGGCAGCCCTTCAGCTCAGCATTTAGGGGCTCAGAGGACCCCACCCCCAAAGGGCCCTGCGATGTCCGTGCTTCACCCCACTTCAGCACTGATCCCCCTGTAATGTGAACACGCGGTTGAGGGCTGCGTCTCCCGCTGGAATGTGTCCCTGGCACATGGCGGGAGCTCGGGAATTGTTGAATGGATTAGCTCCTGATGAACAGATGAAAGCATCCCTCCTCTTATTCCCCAGCAGCAGGATTCCTAACTAAAGAAACCCCCTATGTTCATGCATTTCTGTCCCCCCTCGCAGTCCCATCCTCCTCAGCACACGGACACGGCAGGAGGTACCCAGGTCTCTCTGTGGCCACAGGAGCAAGCTTTAGACAAGGAGGAGGCTGCAGTGACGTTTCTGGCCTGGGCCCGTGTCCGAGTCCCCAAAGCGCACAGTCTGAGAGTGACAGGAGACCAGGCAGGCTCCACAGTCACCAGCAAACTCTGCCTCCCCTGCAAGCCCTGCAGCGGGCCGGGAGGACAGGGCAGGAGCAGGCATCTAGCCTCCGGCCAGCTGGAAATGGGCTGCCTTGCCGACCACCAGCCGGGGTGGCTGAGAACAGGCCCTGCCCCAAAGCCTAAAATTAGACGAGGAAGTGGTCTCCCCTCTGCTATTTCTCTAGTTAACCCGGAGATGATATGTGCCCCTACTGTGTGCAGATCCCTTTAGAGCTGGGCAGGGGAGGAGCTGGGAGATACAGCAGCTTCCGCCTATGTGTGTGGAAGGCCTGGTATTAGTTCCTTCCTATGGAATCAGTGTCCACTTGCCCCCTTCCCCGATCCTGCCCGTCCTCCAGGCCCAGCTCAAACAGCACTGACTGAGGACTTATTGTGTTCCAGGAACTGTTCCAAGCCTGTAGATATATATTTTTTTCATGTTCATTTAATTCTCATAACTGTATGAGTTAGAGCCATTATTATCCCCATTTTACAGATGACACAGAGGGGTTAGGTCACACAGCTAGACAGAGGTGTGGGAATTAATGCCACCTCCTCCGTGAAGCTTCCCTTCTTTGAGCCTTCCCATGTGTAACCAGTCTCACTCTGCTGTGAACTCAGAGATGCTGATTCTTATGGGTGTCGAAGCTCCCTTACCAGGCTGCAAGTGCTTCAAGGTCAGAATTCCTGGCACACTGGCATCGGCGTCCCACACAATGCCAAGCACAGGGCCTGGCCGTAGGCCGGCCTGCCCAAGGGAGTGCTGAGTATGTGAATGAATGGCAGTGAGTGCGTGCATGTGCAAATGCAGCGACACGCTGGTTCATGAGGGAGAGGGAAGAGTGGGACTGAGATTTCCCAGGTGAACTCAGCCTGGTGGGAAGGGCACACGGGCAAGGGCAGGGGCCAGGTGGGCTGGGGGCAGCCAACCTTCAGGAGCATGCTTGCACTGTGTGCCCCGCACTGGCCAGGTCCCTGGGGGGACAGTCTGAAAGGCCCCCATCTTCAGGGGGCTTTTAGGCTGGGTGGGAAGATCACGTCAACACACAGGAAGCAACTGGAGAACAAACAGAACAATGTCTGCTGCCTGTGGGGCTGGAGGCCTTCCTGGAGGAGGCAGAGGAGGGGCTGGCCCTGGGTGGGAGGACGGAGGTGAGGCTGAGAGAGGAAGCTGGACGCTGAAGGAGGAGGCAGAAATGAACATGGCGATGTGGGGGACCCGAGGAAGCCGCTGTGAGCTCAGGGGACCTGTAGGGGGAGCTGAAATGAGGGCGGGGAGAGAGGGGTAGACGCAGAGACCTCCATCTGAGCCAGGGTCATTCGTCTGTGATTTTTGCCAGTACTTTAAAAACATATTTTAAATTTTAATAAATACTTAAAATAAATACTTATTCTTAAAATTGAATTATGTTTTTAACTTATATCTGTTGTAAGAGGAAACTTTGTATCATGGCCATATAGAAAATTAGAATAGAATAGAAAATGACCATAAAAATAAGCACAAAGGAAACAAAGCAAGGTTTCTTGCCTTAGTCTATTGAAGCTGCTATAACAGAATACCACAGACGGGGTGGATTATAAACAAAAGAAGTTTATTTCTCACGGTTCTGGAGGCTGGGAGTCCGAGATCAGGGTGCCAGCACGGTCGGGTGAGGGCCGGCTTCCTGGTTTGTAGATGGCGCCTTCTCGCCAGGCCGCACCTGGTGGAAGGGGCCGGGGAGCTCTCTGGGGTCTCTGTTATCAGAGACTAATCCCATTCGTGGGGGCTCTACCTGCGTGACCTGAACACCTCCAGAGGCCCCACCTCCTAAGACCGCTGTGTGGGGGTTAGGACTTCACTGTGTGAATTCTGGGGGACACAAACGTTCAGACCATGGTGGATACTGAGTCCTGCCTGGGTACTGCTCCCTTTGGAAAGCTCCAGGCCTGAAGCCTGCTCTCTCTGTTAAAAAGGAAAACGAGGAAGTGTTAGAGAGGTGTTACAGATATATTAGCACCAAACCAAGACTTTCTCCTTGACTCTATCGGAGAGACGGGAGGAAGACTGAAAGGGCATAAGGTCCTTGTTCTGTGAATCATCGCTTCTACTGCCTGGGGCTTGCACTCAGAGCACTTTCCATCCCTCGTGGAGCCCGCATCCATTTTAAGTTACTGATTCATCCTTACCACCCGGAGAGGAGCCCTGGCCCCAGCCACAGGTCCATCCACCCTGGGCCCCTGTCGTACCTGGAATGTTACTCTCTTGTGCAGGGAATACCAACAGCATCTTCGCCCTGGACTACATCAGCGGAGCGCTGACCCTGAACGGCCTCCTGGACCGGGAGAACCCCCTGTACAGCCATGGCTTCATCCTGACCGTGAAGGTGAGAGCCGGGCAGTGGGCACCTCCGTCCCATGGAGAGGGGATGCCTACGCCATGGGGCCAGCCTCCAGCAGTGCCCACAGTGGAGGCTCCAGGAGGCGTCTCTCACCCCGCACTATTCCCGGGGCTCATGCCCAGGGCCCCTGTCAGGAAGGGACAACGCTTATCAGGTGTTGGCTGTGTCAGGGACCTTGCTGGGTACTCAGAGCCATTGTCAACAACCACGTAGGATCAGGACTTTTATCCCCATTTTAGGGATGAGGAGGCACATAGCAGGTGCTTATCCCATGGTCCTCACTGCTATCCATGATTCCACAGTCTCTGTTGTAGCCACCTCAGATTCCTAAGTTTACCCCATTTCTGAGGTTTTGTCCTATTTGTAATTCTCACCGCTTCCCTGGGGCTGTTACCTAGTTAGGAAACAGCAATGCAGTGGGCAGAGGGCAGAAGCTGCTGGGTCCCCCCACAGGTGTAGTGGAGCCACAGCCCCCAGCCACTCTTGGCTGGTTTTAATTAAAATCAGTGACTTGCCGAGCCATTCCCTGGGAAACCCATTTAGGGTGTGGATCCCGCCTGGGCCGCAGGGTCCTCCCCAGCCCCAGCCATCAATTGGGGGATGGGGGGGGTGGGCACAAGGACTGAGGAGAGGGGCTCTGGGAAGGAGGCCCTTCCTTTGGCGCCGGAAGGATGGTGCAGCCCACCCTCGCTCTTAATCGCTCTCCTTGACCCTGAGAGTGCCTGCAGCAGCAGTGGGTTGACTAGCCCTCATTCACCAGCTTGCCCCTTCCTCTCACCCGATGTGCACATGTGCGCCAGCTGGGGGAGAGCTGCTAACACTGCCTTTCCCCCACCCAGCACCAAGCCCCGGGGCCCCCGTCAGCCTCCCCTCCAGTCTCTGCTCCCTTCCTGCAGAGGCGGGCAGCACCATGGAGAGAGCTGCTTCCTAGTCCCAGGGCCGCCCCCAGCTCTCTGTGGGACCGTGAACTTGGTTTTTCCATCTTTATATAAAATGTGAGGGTGGCTTCCCAAACTTGGCTGTGAATCTGAACCCCTGGGGAACTGGCGACACACACCTAGTCCTGGCCTGTCGCCCAGTGGTTCTGGTTCTGAAGTTTGCAGTGGGAACTGCGAATGGGTATTTTTGGGCCCAGGGGCTCTGGTCCAGAGACTGGGCCCCCAGGTATCTTAGTCCTTCTATTCCTGAGTCCCACCCAGACCCTCACGGTGCCCAGCACAGTGTTCAGTCCATAGCAGATGCTGAAGTAAGTCTTGGTTACCTGCTGGCACAAAAATTCTTGGCCTAAGTTTCATCATCTGCCAAATTGAATAAAGACTCTCCCTTTGCCCCTTGATGAGCCCTCAAATCTGTCTGATCCTCCCCACCCCACCTCATCCCCTTTGTTCTAGAATCCTACTGCCTGCGTTTGACACCTACTCTGGCTGTATGTCCTTGTACAAGTTACTTAACCTCTCTGATCCTCAGTTTCCTCATCAGTAAAATGAGGGTCAGTAAAATGGGGATGCTAATGATAGAATCTTCCTCCTGGGGTTGTGGGGAGGATTAGATGGGATAATTCACATAAAGCGTGGTGTCTCCTATTGAGAAAGCCTTGGTAGTGATAGCTGTTATTGTGATTATGGCCACCTTCATCCCTGCTGTGTTTGTCCTCTATCTGCAGGGCACAGAGCTGAATGATGACCGCACCCCATCCGACGCCACAGTCACCACAACCTTCAACATCCTGGTTATTGACATCAATGACAACGCCCCAGAGTTCAACAGCTCCGAGTACAGCGTAGCCATCACTGAGCTGGCGCAGGTCGGCTTTGCCCTCCCCCTCTTCATCCAGGTGGTGGACAAGGACGAGGTGAGTCCCCAGAACGCATGGCTCATCCAGACCCACCGCCCTGCCTGGGCTGTGCAGCCCTGCGGAGGACGCCAGGTATCTCTGGGCTTCCAGGTCCCCACCTATAAAATAGAAACAAACATTGCTGCACCCCCTCTCCTACTGTGTTCTAAGGAAAATAAGGCTGCAAAAATCAGTAGTCTCTAAACTTTTGGGCTACTCCCCTACATCCTGCAAAAAACATGTGCACACACACCTCCAATGTGCAGTGATTTATTTAGAAATACATATTTCTAAATAAATGAATATACACGAGCAGAAATGCATATACATGAGCATCCTGCTAATCTAGTACGTACATTACTGAAAAATAGAAATTTTAAGAGGTAGGGGCTCTTGTATAAATGATGACCTGGGAAGGAAGTCTTATTCCTGCTTTGGGTGTAATAATGACCCCTCCTTTTCCATGTGGGAGCGTAAGTGCTTTCAGGGGATCCCAGGCTATAGGAGACTCCAGAGGGGTCCGGGGCACCAGCATCCCCTTGCCCAAGGGCCTGCCTGGCTGAGGCAAGTCTTAGAAGGAAGGGACAGGGGCCATGGAGAGGGAGAGCTCGAGAAGGACAGGAGGGAGGAGGCTCCAGGGCCAAGCTGCAGCCCCTGTGAGCCCTGCCACACCCTGTTTCATTGGGCCAGGGGCCCAGCCCCAGGCTTCCATCACATGGGGACCCTCTCAGCTGCCTCCTCCCCCGGCCTCTCCTGTGCCCCATCTCCCCTGCCCATCGTGGACTTCTGTTTATTGCCGCTGCTCGCCCTGGCCCCCTCTGCTCAGGAATTCCATTAGGGTTTCCAGCCTGACGTGCTTCTCTGCGATTACTGCGCACCCGGCTCCCAGGCTGGCCTTGCTCCAGGCCCGGCTTCCTCCTCATTCCTCCTGCCCCTCTGCACTCTGGCTGCTCAGCAGACCGCCCAACGTGCCCACCCGGGAGCCCTTCCTCCCACCTCCCTCCCTGTTTCCTGTTAGCTTCTCTCAACTGGACAGCATCCCCCCACTACCCCTCCCCCCGCAAGGACTCAGGGCCACGAGGGCAAGTCAGTCTCACCACCTCTGTGCGCACGCGTGCGTGTGGGTGTGTGTGTGAGCACACATGCCTCCATCTCCTGCTAAGTCATTCCATACCTATCTGTCTGAGATAACTAAAGTATGTACTAAGCACCTACACTTTACAAGGAGCTATATTTGGCCCCTGGAGGGGGTCCAGGAAGTGTAAGCCATGGTCCCTGTACAAGGGGCCAAGTGTGTTTATGCAGATGTAGTCTGTACATTTTAAAACATAGACAAAAGTGTAGAAAGTTTAAGAGGTGGAGATAAACCGGTATAAACACAAGTTCTAGCATTTTCTCATGCCCCAGTGGATCATCCTGTATTCCCCCAGAGTGCAGCACCCCCAGAGAGACTGCTGTGTGGATGAGAACCTCGGGAGAAAGTCTCATCTTTGGTTTCACGCTGACAATTAAGCTCAAGAGGAGGGTGACCAGAGTGTGGGCCCAGGGTCCAGTGACTGCAGGCAGTGAGGGCTCCAGAGCCTGGCTGAGGAAGGGGGAAGTAGGGGCAGGAAGATCAGGAAAGGCTCCACGGCGAGAGGGGGCCTAGGACTGAGCCTTGGGGCATAAATCAGATGGTGAAAGGGAGTGCCAGAGGGCAGGCCGGCCGGGCAGTGGCCCCCAGAGAGGCCCAGAGGGAGAAACCTGCAAGCAGATCAGGGAACAGGCAGTAACCCATGCACCAATGCAGAGTTTGTATAGTGGGCTGTGGGAAGGTGGGCTGGGACATAGGCCTTGGAGGGCCTTGAATGCCAAGCCAAGGAATCTGGGCTCGATTTTGGAGGCCACCCAGAGGGGATGCAGCTTGTATAGTGATTCATGGCCCAGGCTCTGGAATCAGACAGGGCCTGTGTTCAAGTCCAGCCTTGCCATTTGCTAGCTCTGTGACCTGGGGAGAGTCGTTGACCCTTCCTAAGCCTCACTTTGCTCATCTGTGTAAAAAAGAAGTAAAAATAAAATGTATCAGTCAGTTTCTATTGCAGTAACAAATTAACCCTGAAACAGAGTTTACGTCTCACACGGACGACTTGTCAGGCGCGAGTGGGCAGGGAGGCCTCCCTCCGTCTGGTCGCTCAGGTGCTCACTCTGCAGTCACGTCGGTCACTGCCGTAGGAGGGGAGAGCTGGAGGGTTAAGCACCAGCGTTTGTGTGCTTCATCCCAGAAGTGGCTCCGTGACTTCTACCCAGGGCCCGTGGGACAGAACTAGCCATGTGCCCCCACCTGACTGCAGAAGGCTGGGGAACGTGGGGAAGCAGCTACATGTTCGTGTCTGCCACAGAGGATATCAACAAGGGACGTGGAGAGGGGGACATGAGATGATACGAGTGAAAGACTTAGCATGGTGCCTGCCATACACAGATGTTAACCAGAGGGGTCCAGGGAGCATCGCCACCAGTAGGGTCAGAACCCCCAGGGCCCTGCTCATCATGACTGTTTGGGGGATTTCAAGGTCACCCTGACCCTGTGGGTTTTATCTCAAGCTCCTTTTGCTGGAAGACCATCTGAAGTGTCTGCAGGAATGCTGACGGGTGTCTGGGTCTAGCCTGCCTCTAGTGACCACTCCGCCTCCAGACACAGGCATCAGCATGCCCGCTGTGGACAGGGTGCCCAACACTACCTGGGTCCATTCTGTGCTTTCCCCGGGGAGTTGGCCACTGTCTCTGACAGCAGAGGACCAGCCTCGTCCCCACAGGGTCCCACTTCTCCAGGGCACAGAGAGGTGCAGAGAGAGAACTACCACCGAGGAGAGGCAGCCCCTAAGCCCAGACTCCCCCACCCTACGGTCACCTGGGTCATCTTCCAGTCTCCCAGGAGCGCTGTACTCAAGCCACGCCAGACGTGGTCCTGGGCTGATTCCTAAAGGAGCAGGAGAGATACATTGCTTCCTTCCTTCCTTCCTTCCTCCCTCCCGTGCCAATCCTCCTCTTTTTGCTGAGGAAGACCAGCTCTGAGCTAACATCCATTGCCAATCCCCTCCTTTTTTTTTTTTTTTTTGTTCCCCAAAGCCCCAGCAGACAGTTGTATGTCATAGTTGCACATCCTTCTAGTTGCTGTATATGGGACGCGGCCTCAGCATGGCCGGAGAAGCGGTGTGTCGGTGCGCGCCCGGGATCCGAACCCGGGCCGCTGGTAGTGGAGTGCGCGTACTTAACCGCTAAGCCACGGGGCCGGCCCCATTGCTTTCTAAATTGCCCTGCTTTTTTGTATCTCTCATCTCTTCTCCACTCTCCAAAACTCTGGAGGGACTCAGATCTGCACAGGTAGATGCTCCTAAGGCCCCAGGTTCCTGGGGCGGAATGTTCAGCCACGTTGCCAACAGGAAGAGAAGACAGAGGGCGCTGGCTCTTGAGCACTGTCCAAGTGTCCAGAATCTGGGAAAAATTAGGGAACCCAAAAGAGAAATCAGGCAGGTTTTGTCAAAGGGCTTGAAAGAGGCCCTTTCTATCTCCCAAGGACTCCATCCTCATTGTCAAGTCTTGCTGAGTAATTTCTTCTCCTTTGCCCGGCTATAGAAAACTCACAGAAGCCAGAGAAGGAAGGGATGGGGTGGGCTGAAACCAACAACAACCCATTTGCACCGAGTGACAGTTGAGATGCAAATAGATGGTTGTAATGCAAATCACAAAAAAGTCTCCAGGCCCCAGGAGTCAGCCGTGGTGTGGGAGCTCATCTCTAAGTTTCAGATTAAAGGCTGTGGCAGCCTCATTCCCTGCACCTGGCTGTTCTCGGCTGTTCTCTTGTCTCTCCTCGGCGTTCTGGAAGCCACAGGAAATAAGCAGCACACTCACCCACTTGGATCCTACCGTATCCTTACCCACCCCTGCCCACCACACGCTGTTCGTGTTTTCTCCAGTTTGGTCGACTTTTCCTCTCCTAATGGTGCCTGCCCGGCTCCCCAGTCCTACTACAGCAGAGCCGGCCGCGGGCCCTCGTGTTTCCCCACCTGCACGGGTGGGGTTATTGAGATGGTTGGAATATTCTCTTCAGTTGTCCTAAAAACCACTCTTCTATGTAGATGCGAGTGGATTATCTGTGTTCTGCATCCTGCCTCTGAAGGGTAAGGGGAGGAAAGCAGGGAATGGGGAGGACCATCGTACCTCTGGCCGCTTTACAAATTCCAGCAAAGGGGGCTGTTTTTAAACACTGTTTTTGCATTATGCATGACGCCTCCCGGTTGACTCAGATAGCAGAAAATTGACAGTTCCTCTCCCGCGCAGGCAGGAGAAATACCGTTCTTCATCGTCCCTTTCTTCTCGGGAGTTGAGAGCCTTGATCCACTTTATTTCTGTCTCCTCTCTGACCCGCAGCTTCTCAGAACCTATTTGCTGCTGTCCTCGAGCATATTTTTGCAGAGGAGTGAGGTTGGAGTGGGGAGTGGGGTGCCAGTATCCCCCTAGAGAGGCCTCTACCGCCCGGTTCTGGCTGCTTCTGAGAACTGGAACCGCTTCAGAATGGCCTTAAGACCTCGTTAATTGGCCAGCACCCCCTGGCCTTTCTGAGGGACTGTATTGAAATTTACACAGCTGGGGGCATTATGCATGCATTCACTCAACAAACATTATTGTGCGCCTACTGTGTGCCCGCCACTGGGGAGATAGTGCTGAAGATGTGGCCCCTGCCCTCCAAGGGCTTGTTTTTCATTCCAGGGGGAAGTAGGAGGAATAAGCACCAACATCATTGCAGGTGGAAATGAATGTCAGAAGTCAATAGACAGGGTGAGTGATGGGGTGGGGCAGGGGGCTATTTTCAATTCAGTGGTCCCAGAAGGCCTTCCAAGGAGGTGCCCTTAGAGCTGCGGTTAAGTGGTGAGGAGGAGGTAGCCACACGGAGGTGCGGAGGGAGAACATTCCAGCAGCAGATGCCCCCCTGCAAGGACAGAGCTCCACAATGGAGATGGCCTGGCAGCTTCAGGGAGCAG